ACATCTCCCGTCACGCATGGTGCAGTCGCACCTCCACAGATCTCCAGTATCAGCTCTTGATACTGGTAATGGCTCAAAAGAGCCACCACTTACGGGCTATTCTTTTGGGTGGTTTAATCTTCATCAATCAATCTAATTAACTCCCTGTAACCTACTTTACTCCTATAATGTCAGCCCATGTCTGTTATTTTTAAACAATGCTGTTTGTCGACCAAATTATATTTTTGCTGTTGTTTTGCCATGTTTTCCCCTTTTTTATTTGTATATTTTCTCAACATATTTTATACTTTAATCTCAATTAGTATTAAGTTTTAGTCTTTAGTGTTTTTCCTGCCTGAAACGCTTTGCGTAATAGTGGCTTTAGGCATTGTATGTACTAGCTCTATCTATAAATTCATCAATATTTTTATCACCCCTTGTATGTATGTACTTTGCCTGAATAAACATTTGATTTTTTTTTAATTTTGTGTAGGTCCCCTTCAACTGTGCCTTTGCCTGTTACGTTACCACTGCTTGTCCGCCTCTGCCCACCCTTACTGCCTTAAATCAATTTACATAAACCAGTCCAGAACCACTACAAAACGCTCACGAGGAAAACCATTGATGATCGAGGAACACGGGATGGGGCCCGAAAGGCGGACGACTGGACTCATGCCCACCGTGAGATGGACTCTGGGGAGGCGACCTACATGCTTCTAAGTTGCCACCGCCCCTCCACACCGTAGGGCTCACCACAACGACAACGACCAACACGGGGTTGACCCTGGGGAGTCGGCCTCGGTGTAGACAGCGTTCACTTTCCCACACCCGGCCTGGGGCCAGCCTTCCATGACTGGTCTCTGTGAGGGCGGGCTCCAGCGACGAAGATATACACGGGTTCGACCAGTCATTCGTCATGGTGCACAGCAGTCCCTGCCTGGGTGTACAAACCCTGCAGTATGTACTCCTCACAAGGGCACTGTTTAGTGGGCTATCTCGCCCCTCTACGCCCCATGGCTCGTCATGATGGCGCTCCGTCGGCCCCACAAAGGAAGCTGTCTCAGTTTGCAGCATCTGCCTAGTAGACCCGGATTGGTACCTTTTTCAGTCAGGGGATCCTGACTGTTTTTTAACGGCCTCTCCGGGCATACGGGCACGGTTATGGACACAGTAGCGAGCTGTCATATTCCTAGTTATAGCGGCCAGCTGCCGCTCGCCCTTCGAGGGTGGGGGTTCCGCGCCACTGGCCCTCACGGGATTGGGGCTGCTCCGACGGAACCCCCAAAGCCAAGACATATTAACAAGAATTGTCATTAGTGTAAATGCCAATAAAGCAACTTTCAGTTACTAATTATAGATCTAACGATTAATTGTAATTGAGTTATACACTATCATTATAATGGCTATTCTCTAATATTATTTCAGGATAATTCACTAATCTATATTAGTCACATAATTAATTATTATCCACTTAAACTATCTATTTTAGTCGCCATAATTAGCTATTATGCTTCGTCATAATTAATGTTTATTATTATAATTAATTATTTATTAATTATTAAAATAAACAAGTCCCCCACTGTGCGCATTTTCTTCCAACCGCAGAAATCAAGATAATCCAGGAGGGTGAAGAAATGGTAAAGAGAATGGCAATGGTGAACAGTAGTAACACACTTAAGAATTATTCAATAATAAATACAAATTCGTTCTTATTACGTACACTACTTATTTCCTTATTTCTATAGTTATCTATAAGTTGACACTCTAATACATAATGTTCTAAGGTGTGGGCGTGTGGCATACTACATAATTTACACTCCTTATCTTTTTCAAAAATCAAATCAAATCAAATCAAATCAAATGTTTATTCAGGTAAAAGTACATACATGGAAGATTTATGGCTTTATGCATGGAAAGAGTGTACATCACTGTATTACCACATTCCTCACCCTGCATACTGATAGGTCATACACCACTTTTTTAGATCTTAAGTCAAGTCAGCCTTTGACATTGCTAACCCACACGTCATTCTGAACGAACTTGCTAAAATGAATGTTGGAGGATGGCTACTACAGTGAATAAGAGGCTATCTATCCAACAGGAAGTCATCTGTACTGTTCCAAGGGCATAGGAGTGTAACGAGAGATTTTGAACTTGGCACTCCACAGGGAGGTGTCCTCAGTCCTACTCTGTTCAATGTGTTAATCAATGCACTTTTAAACTCAGTAACCAGAAGGCCCAGCGAACACATCATTAGCTATGCGGATGATATACTGATCCACACCAATGAGTATACCAACACCCAAAATGTTCTGAACTCTGTATTGCACACATGTCAGGAACTAGGCTTAGTCATCGCAGTAGAGAAAACAAAAATCCTGAACCGATGCCCACCCAGACGGCGTGGGGCCATTCGCAAAATGCAGTTGCATGATATGGCTCTCTGCTCGACTATGTAACCAGATACAAATACCTTGGTCTTGAAGTTCCACTGTCCCGCAATGTTGTAGCCAGACTGGGTCGCCAATGTAGAGAGAGGCTCCGTGCTCTTAAGGCTGTGGCAGGCTACCATCCAAGCTATGGCGCAAATGTGAGAATTGTCAAAATGATGTATCTCTCATATATTAGGTCTCTGATTGATTATGCTGCACCCATGCTTGCTCTAGTGCCTGAGAGAATGCTTGGAGGGCTGGAAAAGATGCAAAACGAAGCCATGAGGATTATCCTCGGATGCCCCCGTACAACTAAATTACTAAACATGAGGAAGGAACTGAATATTTCATGTGTAAGTGATCGTATCACTGAAATTAATGCTTTAATTGGTATCAGGATGCTTAGGTTAACCCACCCTAACTCCTGCACTGAAGCCCTCCAAGCCTTCTTCGTTGAAGGTCAGCATCCCTCCAAATGGATTACCGAAACTGCCAATGTGCTCAATATGTATAACTTTCATCACCCCTACCAAGAGAGACAACAACAACACTTTCCTGCCCCATGGGAGATCACGCCTTTCCAAATTACTGTCCCCTCTTTCCCACCCAAGAAGCTGATTAAAGAACAAGCCTTGCTTCGACAAGAAGCAAAGTACAATGCCTTAAGCCAAATTGATGCTTTAGTCAGAGAGCGCTCCCTTTCCCAGATTATTTACACTGATGGATCCTTGCATCAGTCCCATGGTGCAGCTGGAAGTGCAATTGTTGTGACAGGGAGAGATGGTTCCTTCTCCCATGAGTGTGGAGCGCGTCTCAGTAACCAGGCCTCCACTCTTCAAACAGAATTGGTTGCCATAATCCTTGCAGTCGAGCTCGTATATGAATCCAAAGTTGACACGCTAATTGTAAGTGACTCCTTGTCATCCTTGACTGCCCTCAGCTTCCCAAGGCATAACTCTATTGCTTTGAGATGTATTTTTTCTTGTCTCAATAAACACCAGTTACTCCATCTATCATCATTCTATTATGCAGGAAGTACCGCACGTCTATGGGTCATCCAATAATGTTAGCAGACTTCTAGATGTTACCACTGCTAGGCTTAGGCTCGGCTACAAGTACCTCTGGGAATTTGTAACATCTGCTGATGTAGATTTGACTAAGTGTAAACTCTGTCAGCTGAACTATTCACATACTTTGCGTCATTATATAATGGAATGTGAAAAAATCGCGGAATTTAGAGATAACACCATCAATAGTGTCCAATAAATGTGTAAGTACTTCATTCATAATGATGTGCTGCCCGAAATCTTAGCGAAGTATTCAAAATTTGCTTACTGTAAGTAATGCATGCACATGACTGTAAAACTGCCGCCCAGTTGGGTGGGTGTGGAGCAAGACTAGTAACTGTGTGACTCACCATAGATGTAAAGTGCCTTGTATAGTGACTGTTGTGAGCCTGTTGTTGAATCACTTGTGACACAAAAGATTATTGATGTGTGTGTTTGTGTGGGTGATTAAATATGTATGTGTATGTATATATGTATACGTATGTATATGTACATGTATGCATGAGTACCTCATGCATACATGTACATGTATATATTTTTTATAACATTAATAGTTTTGTAACTAGCGTCAAAAGATTGTTATTTGCTTAGCTAAACGAACTAGAGGGGTTCAGTTCCTGAACCGATTATGTGCCTCTGTAATCCTTTACACCACCGCCCACGGGATGGGTATGGGGTGCATAATAAAGAAAGAAATTGAATTCAATAAACATACTTGAAGTTGAACGTGGCCGAAACGCTGGACATATTAGTGGCTTCAGGTATTGTATGTACTAGCTCTATCTATAAATCCAACATTATATTTGTAACTCATCTTCTATGTATGTACTTTTACCTGAATAAACATTTTTATTTTTTTTTATTTTTTTTTTAAACTAGTGTGCTATTAGGCACTTAACCATTGAAAGTGATTAAGATGCTTTTACAAGTTCAGGTTATAGTTACTTCACATACATTGTATACTTGATACATTACAATGGTCAATCTTGGATACAAGTGCAATATATTATCAACTGGTCCAGTATTCGTATAGTATTTGCAGAATTACAGAATTCGGGGGAGGATTGACTGGGCACTATTCCTTAACTGTAGCCTCTGTTCACCCAGCAGTGTTGTTAAACGATTTGGGGGGTTGTTTTCCGGGGAAAATTAAGATTAATAAGGCTCTGCCTGAACCGCTATGCGTGCGTGTAGGGTTTACAAGAATGTAAGAACTCTTGGATATGTAAATAAATAACAAAATAGAAAATAATGAGGTAGGAGTTGGCCCAAAACGCAGTGCGTCTTAGTGACTTTAGGCATTATACATACTAGCTCTTTCTAGAAATCCAACAATATGTTTTTAACTCATCATGTATGTACTTTTACTTGCATAAACCTTTGATTTGATTTGCTCGAGTGTGGAGGAGAGGAGGAGATAAGGGATCTGGTCGCGCTGTGAGGGCGGCGGGAGCGGGTTGCGGGGCGGGCAGGAGGATGGGATCCTCCTGGCCGCCGGGTCCGCCGCCTCCCTCAGGTAAGACAACTGCCCCCCAACACGCCGCCACACTTGACCAATATCCCTGGGTCAGCCCGCGACGGTCCTCCCCCACACCCCGGCAGGCACCGCCCCATGAAGAGCGGCACGAGTTGAGTGGCAGGAGGGGGTCGTGGCGGGAGCGGAGGAGTGTGTCGTGCGGTAATAAAAGCTTCCAAAAGTGTTGTGGAGTGCGAGTGTGGATTTGATGGCCGGCAGGGGTAAGTTGTTTACACCGAGACCCCCCTACAGAAGTGCAAGACGGACCTGCCTCCTCACTCTCCCTGTGGTACTCAGTTACATCCTTCAAAAAAAAAACACTGCCTGCTGACTCTTTAGTGGTGTAGACTAACCCTTTTAACTCGCTCCAATGCCTAGAATGAGCAGGAAATCGTCATACACTTACCATGGACTCAATGAAGGTGGGTTGGTGGTGGTTGTGGTGGCTGCAGGCTAGCCTAAGCCTCCCTAGTTTACCTCGAGCTGAGGTAGCCCGAGCCTACCTGGTTTACCTCAAACTGAGGTAACCTAAGCTTCCCTAGTTTACCTCAAACTGAGGTAGCCCAGGCCTCCTTACATTACCTCAAACTGAGGTAACTTAAGCCTCCCTAGTTTACCTCAGCCTCCTTCACACTTTGTCAAGATTTCCATATATTTCTGCTTTAAAATGGCTAAGGTAATGTTTAGAATTTTACTTAATTTTGCGATAAAATATAAGAAAGTGACAATTTTTCCTGGGCCATAATTGAGCAGAACTTCTGTTGTCGTCCTCGGCTGTGTGACTCGAGCAGCTCGTAGTCTCTGCTTGTTAGGCTTCAAATTACATTCAGGGGGAGGGGGGGGGCCATACCTTAAAGTGTAAAGTGGTGCATTACGTACTGTTGTGGTTGGTGTCGGCGTTATGGCTGCTGTAAGGAAAGTTCTGTAATGGTTCTGAAGATGATCGAGTATGGTGTGTCCTTTCCAACATTTTGGGGAAACGAAAACATAACTTCATGTCAAAATCCAACTGGAAAAAATGATTACGGAAAAATGAGGGGACGTTTGACAGTCTGCCAACTTCCCGTCAGTCCCGGCCAAGACCACTGGAGGGAGAGGGCTGCCCTTGGGTAAATATCGCTGCCTGATCAAGCTAAACTTAACCTAATTCATACTGTACACTTGCCCCAAAGTAAAAGGCCAAAAACTTTCATAAAGAGGCTATCAAGTTTAGTTTACCTGTACTGTACTTGGTTTCAAGAATAATACTCTGCAAGTCAAGCCTGGAGCTAGGCATTTCTAGTGATAACCGTCTCCATCAGGCTGTTGCTTGCAGCAGCCTGATGGCCCACAGGCCCAAACGCCCACAGGCCCAAACGCCCACAGGCCCAAAGGCCCACAGGCCCAAAGGCCCACAGGTCTGCTGGTCTGCTGGTCTGCAGGCCCACACATCCTCTATAATCTAGTTGATCTGCCTCCTGAAAATGTTATGCTCATTACAATAATGAAGGCTGGTGCTGTTAGAGAAAGGCAATAGACAGGGCTTAAGGTTCAAGTCCTTCATTAGTTAGTGAAAATGGTCGAGTAATGAGAGGTCCGACTGCACTCTCAAGGAATATGGTCGGTACATGTGTGTCCACATTGGGTCTGGGAGCCTCAGAAAAAACATCTGTGCTACAGCAAACGCTTTCTCATAGTGTGCTCTAGTATATCCATAACCCTTTTAGGGTGAATCACGGCAAGTCGGAACAATTGAGGGCTGAAAGAATATGCTCTGATGAACAATTTATTACAAAATATTTTATGAATTTTTGCTATGTTTTTCTTCAATATTCACTAAACGGTTCGTAGTACAGTTCTTTAGTCTGTTACTTTGTTGTTGCCAGAGCCGTCATGAGTGAATGTGTCGCAGCCTTGTGTTCTCCCTCTATGGTTGTGTGCAACAATCTCTTGTTACTGTTTTTAATGTTTTTCATCTGTTTTCTTTGGATATTTCATCATTTAAGAGTTGAAGAGATGTCTACAAGCAGGAATCTTTAGGCCAATATAATGCAAAGCCAGTAACACCCGTAGCATTGTGCAGACTCTTTGTTCCCTCGCAACCCATTGCCCCTTTTTGTATATAAATAAAGACAAAATATAAACAAAATGGTGTTGCTTAGGCTATAACTAATTTATGCAGTAGTACAGCACAGTGATGTTTTTCCATTGCAAATAATACTACTGTACTGTATACTCACATTTTGTAAGCATGCAGGCATGTGGTCTGTGGTCCAGGGATTATTCACCCTGTGGAAAAGTATACGAACTATTCACATTAAGTTAAAATAAGTGTGCTTTGGATAAACTGACTTGGTAATGATTACTCTACTAGAAAGGATGCAGTATGGTAGTACTGTATTGCTCAATAAGCCACAAATAAATAAATAAATAAATAAATAAATAAATGTTTATTTAGGTAAGGTACATACATCAAGAAATTTTTACAAAGATTGGTGGACTTATAGATAGAGCTAGTACATACAATGCCTAAAGCCACTATTACGCAAAGCGTTTCGGGCATGAAAAACTTGAATGACTAAAGCTTAATACTAATTGAGCATAAAGAGTAAAATGAAAACATGAAATGAAAACATAGCTGAAAAAGCAGCACAAATACAATTCTGTCGACAAACAGCGCTCTTTAAAAAAAAAAGACATTGGTTGACAATAGAGGGGTAAGGTAGGTTACAGGGAATTTATTAGGTGTAGCTTCGTTTTTATCTTAAACTGGTTGAGAGAGGTACAGTCTTTAACATGATTGGGAAGGTCATTCCTCATTCTGGGTCCCTTGATTTGTAGAGCATTTCTAGTTTAAGTCGTACTCTAGGAATATCAAAACTGTATTTATTTCTGGTGTGGTGTTCATGGGTTCTGTTACAACCTTCTATGAAGCTTTTGAGGTCAGGATTGGCATTACAGTTTAGCGTTTTATATATGTATAATACACATGAGAGAATGTGCAGTGACTTAATGTCTAACATATTCAGAGATTTGAGTAGGGGTACCGAGTGATGTCTGGGGCCAGAGTTGGATATTGTCCTAATAGCAGCTTTGTGTTGAGTAATTAGAGGACGTAAATGATTTTGGGTAGTAGAGCCCCAAGCACAAATACCATAGTTGAGATATGGATACAGTAGATAAGGGAGTAATAGAGAGTCACCAGGGCAGGGCGGGGTACATAATATCTGATCTTAGAATGCCAACAGTTTTTGAAACTTTTTTTGATATATTTAGAAAGTGTCCCTGGAAATTCGGCTTGTGGTCAATGAGAATGCCAAGGAATTTGCCATCTAATTTGTTACAAATTTGGGTATTGTTTATTTTGAGATTTATTTGATTAGAGGATTTATTGCCAAACAGAATATAGAAAGTTTTGTCAATGTTAAGGGTGAGTTTGTTGGCAGTTAGCCAAAGATGGACTTTATTTAGCTCAGTATTTACTGTGGCATTTAGAGCAAGGGGGTCAGGACTGGAGTAAATGAAGGTTGTGTCGTCAGCAAATAGAATTGGTTTGAGGTGTTGGGAGGCATTTGGAAGGTCATTAATGTAGATGAGAAAGAGGAGAGGGCCAAGTATGCTGCCCTGAGGAACACCAATGTTGATGGGTAGGGTGGGAGAAATTGAATTATTCACAGAAACATACTGGAGCCTGTCAGTAAGGTAGGATTTGAGGTATTGCAGGGAGTGTCCTCTGACTCCATAATGATGTAATTTAAGAAGAAGGTTTTGGTGGTTGACAGTGTCAAAAGCTTTACGCAGGTCCACAAATAACCCAACAGGGAACTCATTTTTATCAAGAGCTGTATGAATCGAGTTAAGCATACTAATAAGTGCATCGTTAGTGCTTTTTTTGGGTCTGAAGCCATATTGGCAAGGGCTAAGTATATTGTGTTTGGCTAGATAAGAGTAAAGCTGCTTATAGATTAGTTTTTCAAAAATTTTTGACAAGTTTGGCAGGATTGATATAGGTCTGTAGTTGTTAACATCTGTGAGATCACCACATTTGTGGACAGGCGTTACTCTCGCTTTTTTTAGAATATCTGGAAAGGTTTGGAGTTCAAGTGACTTGTTGAAGAGCAATGCAATAGCAGGGGCTAAAGATCTGGAGGCTTTTTTGTAAATTAAAGTTGGTATCTCCTCAAGGGCACTAGACTTGGTTTTAAGGGAAAGGATTATCTCATTGACGTCAGTGGAATTAATAGGCTTTAGGTACAGAGACTGTGGATAGTTACCTGTAAGATAGTCCTTAACGTCAGTACTGGAAGATGGAATATCATTTGCAAGGGATGACCCAATGGAAGAGAAGAACGTATTGAACTCAATAGCAGAATCAGAGGCTGAAAGCTGACCATCGTTATTGGACAGGAGTGTTGGTTTGTTATGTAAAGTCTTCTTCGATCCCAATATTTGTGAAATTGTGCTCCAAGTTTTTTTAATGTTGCTCTTTATTTGGGTAAACTTATCTTCGTAGTACAGCGTATTTAGTTTTGGCTCGTCTAATTATCTTAGATAGCAATAATGAGTAATTCTTTGAGAATTCTTTGGAGACAATTCCTAACCTATACTTCTTCTCAAGGTCATGTTTTTTATTAATGGATTTAAGTATTCCCTTTGTAAGCCAGGGATTGTTAAGCCTTTTGGTTGTGACTTGTTTTGTAAGCATAGGACAGTGGGTGTTATAAAGGCTAAGAGTTTTTTGAAGAAAAGATTGCACTGCTAGGTTGATGTCCCCTATGTTACCTAACTCGGACTCCCAGTTGACATTATCAGCAGCAGTTATAAAATTGTCTATAGCAGTTTCATTGTGCAGTCTAAAACTTAACTCTCTTGACTCTAGAGGTGGTTTGCTAATGTTAGTTAAGAGAAATGTGGGGTAATGGTCTGTAGTGCTATCGGTGATTATACCTGAAGTAAGCGGAGAGGTTATGTTTGTCCAGATGTGATCTAGAGTCGTGGCAGTGCTATCAGTGATTCTAGTAGGTCTAGTGATTAAGGGTATGAGGAAGCAGGAATTCATACAGTTGAGGAAGCTAACAGCAGTAGGGTGTTCAGGCTCGCAGAGGTCAATATTAAAGTCCCCTGCGATAATTAGATGGTTTTTGTTCAGTCTGTTATCAAGTATTAGATTTCTAAGGTTTGAGTTGAATTCGGACACATCAGTGTTAGGAATTCTATAGACTGCACCCACAGACAGGACAGACTCGGCACCCTTGACTCTGAAGCTGGCGAAGATATACTCCCCATAGCAGTCTCTAGTTCTAATTTCTTTTAAGCATGTTAGTTCTTGGTGGTAGTAAAGAGCAGTGCCACCACCTCTCTGAAGTTGACGACAGTTGTGAATTGCCGAGTAGTTAGGCATGTTAAAGAGTTGAGTAGTATCCTCTTTCAACCATGTTTCAGT